CGAACGGTGAGAAGATCGATCGAGGGGTTTGGCAAGTAACGGGTGTTTCTGTAAGTCGTAAAGAAAGCTTGGAGTTGTGATGCGCGAATTCTAAGATCGAATATCTGGGAATCGTTTGAAAACTCGAGTGGGGGATTGAATCTGGATTGCAGAATCGAATCTTGGGGACGAAGGATTTTGCAAAATGGAAATCTATAATTGTAACATGAAAGCTTGTCTCACAATTCGATTATAAACAATTCGAAAACAAGTTTACAGATAACAAGTTTTATAGATATAGATAGATAGCGAAAGATCAAACTTTTAAGGAGAATTTAGGAATCGTTGGAAAGCTTGGATTTTAAGTGTGAACGAATTCAATTGAAAGTTGATATTTGAAATAAAAGGTTTAGCAAAATGTATAATTAGAATTCGAAAACTCGAATGAACTTCAAATGAAAACAAATTTGCAGATAACAAGTTCTATAGATATAGATAAATGTAGATGGATAGCGAAAACTCAAACTTTTAAGGAATTTAGGAATCATTGGAAATCATTTTGAATTTTAAGGGTGAATGAATTCAATTGAAAGTTGACAGAAATTTGAAATAAAAGATTTTGCAAAATGTATAATTGCAATTCGAAAAAAACTCGAATGAACTTCAAATGAAAACAAATTTACAGATAACAAGTTCTATAGATATAGATAGATATAGATAGATGTAGATGGATAGCGAAAACTCAAACTTTTAAGGAGAATTTAGGAATCATTGGAAATTATTTTGGATTTTAAGGATTTGAACGAATTCAATAGAAAGTTGGCAGAAATTTGAAAAGGTTTAGCAAAATATAATTGCAATTCGAAAACTCGATTCAAATGAAAATAAATTTACAGATAAAAGTGAAAACTCAAATTTGAGATGAATCTAGTAATCGTTGGAAAGATTGAGTTTTAACGATTATAAAATTATTACAAATTTGAAACAAAAAATTTTAATATGCAAATATAATACATATATAATACATAGATAATATAATACATAGATAAATAGAGAAAGCTTGAGTTTTAACTCAATCATAGAATTTAAATGTATGTGTGAAATCAATTGAAAATTGAAAAAATTTTGCAAAATGCAAATATAATATATATAGACAGATATATAGATAAATGGAGAAAGCTTGAGTTTTAATTATATTATAATTGAGTAGAATTTAAGTACATGCATGCATATGTGTGTGTGAATTCAATTGAAAATAGAAAAAATTTTGCGAAATGCAAATTGCAATAATTGCAATAAATGGAAACCTCGAAAACGAAAAATTTACAGATAAAACGTTCGCGAAAGCCCGGATCTTTTAACACACGTACCAAATCCACACACCTGTATCGCTCTAACTTACACATTTATCTATATTACGATAACACTACTGTATTTACGCTAATTCAATGGCTCGTTCCATTCCATACCATTACGCATCCCCGGTATCAGCGTTATAACGCTATTAGCCTATAATCATCCGCTACCACTATTCTCTTTCTAAACACTTTAAAACCATTATTTCATGCTTCTTCTTCTTCGATCGGGGCCGCTCGTAGAAAAACCGGCCGATTTCCCATAAGGAAGCGGCGATGGAAACAACGACGGTGTATCGCCGTCGGGGTTGCAAACGGGAGGAAACATTTAAATTAATTGGACGAGGTGGTGAAAACGTGGGAAAAATTCTCGTCTCTCTGGACGAGAGGCGGGGGAGGACCGTTTCCACGGAGGAGGAGGAGGGGGAGAGGCAGGAAATTAAGGGGAGGGCGTGTGCGTGTGGGATCGGCCGATGGGGGAAAAAACTGGTTGCGACGGGTACAAGAAGGAAATAGAAGCTGGCCCGATAAGAGTTAATTGAATAAAAGGATCTAGACGATACGGCTTGGTTCCTGAAACTGCCTCGGGAATGCGGTTTTAAAGCATCGCTAAACACCCATTTCGAGAAATTTAAACACCTTTGAAACATCCCTACCCTCTTTCTCTTATCACTCGAACAAATTCTCCCGTTTATCCTGCATATATATATATACACACGCAATCTCAACTCTCTATCTTCTTCTCGATTACTTCTACTCGTCCTAATTAGTCCTACTTGTTAACGATAGCTGGAATAGGGTGATAATTCTTAATTAAAGACTCGAAAGTGGTGAAACTTTTCGAAGGGGAGAGGGACGATTAGAGGATCGTGAGGGGAGGGTAGGAGAGATAGAGAAAAAGATATTATAAAGGAAACGATTGTAGATCACGAAAGTAGGTTGAAACATTGGTTCAGCCGATAGAAATTTAACGTGATAATTACGATATGAAAATTTGAACCGTTTGAAATCGAGCGTAG